CCCATTTCTGAAGAAGGATCCTGACCCAAAACGTCAGCTTTCCTGCTCCTCTGATGCTGCCTGGTTTGCTGTGCTCCTCCAGCTCCACACTGTGTTATCTTACATTAAGAATAAACTTCTTTTAGCATAGAAGTGGAAACAAACATTGTGGGAAATGCTGTGTAAATGGGATTAGTTAGTTTTCTTCAGTCCATTAATCAGGACTGCAGTTAATTAAGTGCAGAGATTTCTCTAATGTAGAGAGTTTCCTAACTATCTACAGGCATTGTCTCTTAAAGTTGCCGGTTTAATAGGTTGTTGTTTGAATATTGTACAAAAACATGTGTGTGTTTTTTTGTTGAACTATATTTGACATATTAAAAATATATTCAAATACAATTAGGTTTTCTGAAAGGAAGAAAAGTAATCCAAAGGTGGATATGCTGATGCAGTATTTACAATTTTTTTGCAAGTTTGATGATTTTAATACATAAGTTTTGGGAACTTGAGAGATGGACATTTTAGCGTCAGAATGGTAAATAATTTGGCATATTACTTTATGAGGGAGAACAGCACTGCTGAAGATGAAGAACCTGGGGACTCGTGATTGGGTACAGCTTTGTTACTAGAAATTGCCATTTAGCTTCTGCATATAGAGTCATCACAATTTTATTGCTTCAATGGCAACCTTCTTCCCAAATGAAACCCATCTAGAGTGCAACAGATAAAAGAAAAATAAGTAGGAGAGAAAGAAATGATGGCACCGAAACTGAAGAGAGAGCAGCAGAAGAAAGAGTGTGCCTTAAAAATAGCAATAGGACATTGTAAAAGTGGACAAGCAAGAAAATGTCATAAAGAAGCCAGAAAGTAAACTATGAAGATGAAAAACAGGGAAGTGCAAAACAATGAAATAGGAGCGAACAAAAGAAAGCAGGAGTGTTGCACAGAAATTGAAAATGATAGGCAAAAGAGAAGGGATAAAGATGTAATGAAACATGTCACTCCTTGTACCCTTGTCAGATAGTAGGCGTACTTGAAAAATACTTCACTTTCTCTTGTCATCTCTGAACATATCTCTGAGACTTTCTCACACTGGGTGATACTTTTTTCTCCCCTCTGTCTCCTTTCTGCTCTTCTACTTTGTTGTATTTCACAACATCTTCAGTTGGATAGAACATAGAACATGAGTGGGGGTGTGGACCTACCTGTTGGTTAGAAAAAATATTGGGAAATGAAAACATTTTTAAAAATTACAAAGTGGAAAGCAAGAATTTCTGCTCCTATGTCTTATGGTCTTATGGTCTAATTGAAAGGTAAATTATTGGAAATTAGGGACTGAAGAGTAAAATAAATAAGAGCTACAGATTAAAGGAGCGAAAGTTTAAGATATCTACCTTGCTTATAGTGTGGAATTAGGTGGCTCTGGTTATTACACGATCTCAGGATTATTACATACCATTTGGCAATGTAGAAAACAACTTTTAATGTTGTATTCTTAGAGAAATGGGCACAAAGTTTTTAATAGCAATTTGTTTTATTATTTTTCAGCATGTTGTATTTACAGTGAGTTTCCTTGTCTCTTACTGCATTCCTGATGTGCCAAAACACATTAAAGAGCAAATTAAGCGGGAGAGGTATCTGACACAGAAGCTTCTGCATGAATCTCAACTTACAGACTGGCATAATAAAATGGCAGAGAATGCCAACACTATAATGAAGGGTCCAATGAGCATGAAATCTGCAGACATGGACGTATGAACACTTGTGACACACATCTGTAATTTTTTTGACTTACATTTTTTAAAAGGGGGTTTGGAATTTGTTTAATTGTTTGATTTCTAGGACATGTTTTATACAAACCTGCAAAATGACTTGTCATGTATTTTGTTTGTCATTTGACCCAATTCATTTTGTAATATCAATAATGGTCGTCGATCCAAGAGGTTTCAGGATTTCATACAAATGGTCACTTGTTATATCTACAAAGGGTTGACAAATAAGACACTTTAAAAATATCATGATGTATCCTGGACCTTTTTAAAAAATGAAAAAAAAATTGTCCTGACAAAAAAGCTGTGAGCAAAGAAATGGTAGCCTTGATTTTTAGATTATTTTCAGCTGAAAATTGAGCAAAATTGCTGCTGTACCAGCATGTAGCCCACTGCTGATGTGATGTTACATATTTGCGTCATTCAGCGATGTAACATGGGAGGATTGCTTTGTGCTGATTTTACAAGTAAGTGAACGGCTCCAGCACCAGTAATGTTTAAAATACCCTGCTGTATCATAGTATTCACGGCAGAGAAAGTATTCAGTGTATGGGTGAAGGATAATTGTAAACATTTAATATGTTGAATGAATATAGTTGTCTCTCTTGTGGTGACCGAAATTGGTTTTAATCTTCTGGCACTAATACTAGGTGACAGAACAATTCTCATGGCATTAATGCTGGCAGTTCCCTCCTGCCATTTTAGATGTCAGTTTGCCAGGGGTCTCAGCTGGAAGAAATCCTCCCCTCCTTCAACCTCCTGTGCCTCACCTAAAATTACCTTGTAGATGTTGTGAAAACTTGTTGCCTTGAAAAGAAAGACTTCAGTTCATTAAGTGCCTTTCATGTCCTTAGGACGATCCAAAGCACTTTACAGCCAATGGAACACTTAACTGTTGTAATTAAAGAAGTTCCAGAAACTGGACTGTTTGCCACTTCTAAACTGCTGCAGTCTCCAAATCTGATAATGACATCTGAATAGCTGACATGCAATAGGAAAACTCACTATTAACACTGAGAGCTCAATAATGGTAATAAGGCAGGCCTTGGAATCATGTAGTCAGTTTACTAAAGATCAGGTGTATGCTTTTCCTGTAACTTGCAGCCAGATTTGTTCATAGTCACAAGAACATAAATAGAAGCAACTGTGGGTCATAATGCTCATTCCATTATATAATACAAACAGATCTTCAACCTCAATTACCCACCCAAACCCCATATTCCTTGATTTCCATAATGTCCAAAAATATATTAATCTTAAACTCAAATATACTCAAGGACTGAGCATCCACAGTCTTCTGGAGTAGACAATTCCAAAATTTCTCATCCCTATGTATGAAAAAATTACTTCTCATCTTCTTAAAAGATGGACTCTTTCCAATCTCCTTATTAATCTAATTGAGTGTGTCTTGGTTAAACCATTCATTGACCATTACTCACCATCCTAGTGTTTCTCAAATGCTGTTAAAATGAAACAATACTTTTATAAATAGTGAAAAATACATTTAATATGAAATATTTCATTCTAAGCACTATTTTTGAAATACGTATGTAACTTGTTCTGCAGTTTTTCAAAATATGAAATAATACATTTGAACAAAAATAAAATATGGGATGATTGAGATGTGAAATAAAATCAGAACAGTACTGGAGAAACTCATCAAGTCTGGCAGCATCTGAAGGGAGAGAAACAGAATTAATGTTTTGAGTCCAGTATGACACTTTGAGTTCCAAAGGCAAATCATATGGGGCTTGAAATGTTAACACTATTTCTTTCTCCACAGTTGCTGCCAGACCTGTTGTGTTTCTTCAGCACTTTGTGTTTCTACCCCATATACTTAAGCTGTGCATCAATTCTTGTTCAGACATCTCAGCAGGGATCAGGAATCTCATCAGTTTTGCCTGTCAGTCTGTCTTGTGACTGTATCGCAGTAAGAGTTCAGTATTTGCCTGGTATCTCATTAATTTGCAGCCATCTTGATAACATATGGAACTGAATTAAAGGTCATATTGTCCTTTATCTGTAAAGCTTCAAGAAAAAGCAAAACCAAATGAAAATTGTAATAGTTTGCTTTTTGTTACTGCTACTCCCAAGTTCTATTCACTCATACAAAATTTTGTTTATGAAATGCAAAGTCACCTAGTAAGAACTGCTAAAACCTTTTTAAAAGACCTATCATGAAAAAGTTTATCAAAATTGGACAGAATGGGTGCAAGTAATAATGTGAGATTTTATCATCTGTATTCACATCTGGGTAGTTGTATAACCAAAAAGAATTTTAGTTAATAGATAAGCCCATAAAATTTTCTTTACATGAAATAACTGAATTCCAGTAGCTCAGTTAAAGAGTAGAAATAGATTTCTGAGAGAGTCTCAAGCCAATCTTTCATAACTAACAAGGATCCACAGATAAATCATACCATTTTCTTCATGGTTTGTGTAGGTCATCTGCTGAAATTTAAGTGGATCCTCCATGTTCATTCACTACCGCAGCCAACCCCCCACCTTCTGGCGCGTCTCCCATATTTTTCCCCTCAAGAGAATTTAAAGAGCTTTTCAATAATATACCACCCATGGTGTTTGATATATCTCTCATTTGTGTAACACTTATTTCAAACTTGTCAGTGTAAGATTAGTAACTGTAATGGAAACCGAATTCTGACATGCATAATCACTAAACACCTCAAATCCATTGTAAAGAACACAGGGACTGTCTTTTGACATGCACCTGTATTTGGGCACAGAATATCAGCTATCAGTTAGTGTGATGTAACGTACATTCGGTACCTGTCAGAACAAGATTGAGATTCCATCCAAAATAATTAAAAGTATGTGCCTCCTATGCTCCTATGGGTTGAATGCTATTCAAGAAAATGGGAACTTCTTCAAAGAGTCCAATGTATTAAAGGCTGCTTGTCCATGATAATTTGGCAGCCATCTTCCTTCACTACAGGGCTCAGACAGCTCATGTGCATCTGTTGGCACTCATGGTTAGTTGTATGTGTAATATGTGTCATAAGGTGTCACACATTGCCCGTCATGAAAGTGAGAAATTATTTTATCTGAAAGATAGAAAGGAAAATATAATTCTGTAATCTGTGTAATCTTGATGTGTTTTTTGAATGTCAAGATGCTGTACTAATTAATTTGCACAATCTTTGTGCCTGTAAAGCTTTATATAATTATTCTCCCACCTAGAGACATTTTCTAAAGAACTGATGATAATGTTTTTCCTTTTTGATTATTATGACATACCCGGAGCATTAAGTAATGAAAACAGTTAATTAAGACAAAATGATATAGGAGCAAAGCATGTCTAATTAAAAATATCACAGCATAAATATATTTGCCATTATTGACTAAATGTTAATTGATTTCCTGTTAAACACTAACAGCATTCTAAAATATATTTTTGTACATCGTTTCTGCATGCTATTTTAAAACTTAAAGGACTTCTTTCCATTGGAACAGATTTTACCCTGTCATGGACTGAGGGAGCAGTATTTTGCAGAATACCAATTGGGCTGATTGAAACACTCACTGTTGTGCACCAATGGTTCGACAAATATATGCTTTCCACTATAGCTTTGTGCTGAAGATTGAGTTTTCATTGACAATTTGTTTGGTTCAGTCTAATTTGTTTTGAAAAATTATCTGAATGCCCTGTAAGTTAAAATCTCTACTGATTGGAGTCATACCTAGTAGTTGCGGTATGACAGTTGTGGTTGATGGAAGTCAACTGTCTCAACTCAAAGACCTTTCTGCAGAAGTTCCTCAGGATAGTGTCTTAGGCCCAGCCATCTTTTGCTGCTTCATAAATGACCTTCCCTCCATCCTAAGGTCAGATGTGGGATATTTGCTAATGAAAGCAGAATGTTCAGCATCATTCATGACTCCTCAGATACTGAAGCTGTCTGTATCCAAATACCGCAAGACCGAATCAATGCTTAGTCTCTAATTTATGGCAAGTAACATTTGTGCCACGTGACCACCAAGCAATAGCTATTTCTAATGATAGAATGCAGCCATTATCTCTTGATATTTAATAGCGTTACCATCATTGAATCCCCTAAATATTATTCATAGATGCAACAGCAGGTCATAGACTAGGAATTCTGCGGCAAGTAACTCACCTCCGGACTCTTTAGGTCTTGTCCACCATCCACAAGGCATAAGTGTGATGGAATACTTCCCACTTGCTTGGCACCTCAAATAACACCTTCATGTGCCATCTATAAGTTGCGCTGCAACTCACCAAGATTTCTTAGACAACACTTTTCAAACCCATGACCACAATCATTTTGAAGCAGACACGTTGGAACACTACCACCTGCAAATTCTCATCCAAGCTGTACAGTATCTTGAGTTGGAACTATGTTGCTGTTCCTTTTCTGTTGCTGGGTCAAAATCCTAGACCTCCACCCTATACTGCACCTAGACTATGTGGATTGTACCATCACCATCACCATCTCAAGGGCAATTAGAGATGGATGATTAAACTGTCACAATTTGTTTACTGTTGTCTGTAAAATCTAACACGACTTTGTTTTCTGATGGGCCATTTTTCTTTCATTCCTATATTAATATTGCATAAAGGCAGCTTTTATATCATTTACATTTTCACTCTTTTCATTTGGATCCATTAAAATCAACAAAGCAGGGTAAAAGTGGAGGGACAGTTACATCCCTAAGTAAATTATAACCTTATATTATGTTCTCCCTTGAATTTTCAATAGCATTTTTAATTTTTAAAAGAACATTTTTTAAATCTGAGAGGTTGCTGTTTTTATACAAAAATCTGGAACATCATAGCAGAAAAGGAGGAAGTTGTATTATTTTACAATGATAAAATCTCTAGCAAATAAATAAGGTCTACCTTATTTTGTTTGTTCCCAGAAGTTATGGTGATGAATTCTAAAATGGGATGAAATTGGATATTTACTGAGAGGAAGCAATGATATAATGCATAGCTCAACCCTTCTCATTTTAGAAACCAGTGAACCTTGATGTGTTTAGAGAATATTGGGAAGTAAATACATTTAATTAGTAAACAACTCTACCAATATTGCTTTGCTCTAAGCTCTGGTTAGGATGAAATGAGCATTTTTGCCAAAATGTTGATTACATTCATTTAACTCTAATAGGCTTATCACATTTATTTTTCAAGCAAGATAACAGATATTCAATCACATCCACAACTTGGTCAGGAGTGTGTATTTTGTTTAACTCAAAATGTTAGTGGAAAAGTTAAGAGTTCATTATGTGGCTGAGCAAATCTATGATTTACACATTTTATGTTAAGTATATACAACATGTTTAGTATTTTTTTTTACTTTTAAAGCTTGAAATGAAGCCACAATGTGGATCGTATCATGCAATTCTCTAACATGCAATTACTGAGCATACATTCATCTCAACCAAAGAGCACCAATAATTTGGAATAAAATATATTACTTTTTAATTTTTGTTTTTTTCTTGAAAGCACTTGATATATTAAATTGTATTGTAACTGTGAATATGGTTAATTGCAATCATCAAAATTTACTTTGTTGAAATTCATTAATTAAAATTGTATTGTTCGTTACTTTGTAATTAAAAATACCTCCCATGTTTCTATACAAAAATAACTGACTTGCATTTGTTTAACAACTCTATACTGGAGATGTCTAACATTATTTCCTGAGATGGGACCAATCAAAATATGTCTGTTCAATAAAATGGAAAGCCCATTCTCAAAGATCTATGTACAATAGACATATTCATGACATCATCTGACAGTAGGAATTCATATATCACATTCAGACAAGAGAAACATGGAAATAGTAAGTTTTGTGAGGGATCCGAATAGATAGGCATTTGTAGGCAAGGCGGCGGATGGACATTCTCATTCCTGACTTTTCCATAGCAGGAAAACTATGGTGATGATTGTTCAAATTTAACTCACTTTTGAAAAAGGCTCAACCATTCCCTGCTTCCCAATAAGGTTGTGAGAATAACTCTTAGTAATAGAGAGGCAACGTACTAGTGATATCATCACTGAGCTGTTAATTCAGACACTCAGGCAATGTTCTAGGGACCCGGGTTTGAATTCTACCTTGGCAGAATTGAATTCACCAAAAAATCTGGAATGAAAAGTCTAACGATATCCATGAAAGCATTGTCATTTATGAGAAAAACCCATCTAATTCACTAATACCCCTTAAGGATGGAAACTGCCACCCTTACCTGGTCCGGTCTACATGTGACACCAGACCCACAGCAATGTGGTTGATCTTAACTGCCCTCTGGGCAATTAGGGATGGGAATTAAATGCTGGCCCACCCAGTAACACGTTCATCCCATGAATGAACTAAAAAAACCCAGAACTTGGACACTTTCCTTAAACTGACAATCTAGTGCGCTACTGATGACCAACATATAATCAGAAATACTGAGCCTGGATATCTAACACAAACATTTGCAAATGCGCACAAGACACTCACCCAATCTGCCAGAAAGTTTGCTTTCTCCCACCACTGATTGTCAGTCTCCTGCTCACCAACTTTTTCCGCTGAGCCCACCTGCCTCCCACTCACTGCCCTTGCTGCCTTTCTTGAAATTTCTTTTTTTTTATTCATTCATGGGATGAGGGCATCGCTGACCAGGCAGCATTTATTGCCCATCCCTAATTGCCCAGAGGGCAGTTAAGAGTCAACCACATTGCTGTGGGTCTAGAGTCACATGTAGGCCAGACCAGGTAAGGATGGCAGTTTCCTTCCTTAAAGGACATTAGTGAACCAGATGGGTTTTCTCAACAATTGACAATGGATTCATGGTCATCATTAGATCCTTAATTCCAGATATTTTTACTGAATTCAAATTCCACCATCTGCTGTGGCAGGATTCGAACCTGGGTCCCCAGAACATTATCTGGGTCTCTGGATTAACACTCCAGCGATAATAGCACCAGGCCATTGCCTCCCCAGGAGATAAATGGTTAACTCAGAACCATCTTTCAATCTCATGCCATCATTATCCAATACACAATCTGCTTGAATATTACTATTTTTGCTGAAATGTCTTCTGAAAAGAAGAGCATGTAGCTATTTCCAGCTGAAGGTATAGCTCTTCTTCAGCTGTTTGGTCCTCACCTCATTTTGGTGAAATTCAAATGAAAATTTTGACAAGAATGCTGGATTTGCTCAACAGATGTGACAGGTTCTGTGGAGACAGCAGTTAACTTTCTAGTTCCATTACCTTTTGTCAATGCTGCCAGACCTTTTGAGAATTTCTAGAATTCTGTTTTTATTCCAGATTGCCCACATCAACCGTACCATTCCACCGCTATCAACTGTTTTATTTCAGGAGGTGCCATGAATTAGAAAAAAGGTTCAACTATCTGGCCATTTGGTTGGTGCAGATTGAGAACAAATTTCCATATGCATTAATGTTACCTTTTTAATGTTGAAAAATGCCTTGAGTCATTTCAAGGACAGTCAAAAACCAGAGATCCAACCAATAGAACAGGAGATGTCAGGCGGGTTGAACAAGAACTTACTGTTTTGACTAAATTTTGATAAGCACCTTCAAAGAGGATCTTCCTTTCAAAGGCAGAGGTGTTTAGACTGGAAATTCCAAATTGCAGAGACTAGGCAGCTGAATGCGTAACCATTGCTGTGGAACTGGCATATGGACTACTGGACAAGTCAGATCCCAGAAATAAGTCTGACCTGATAGATCATTTTCTAAAAAATTGTTAATGTGCACATTCACTGAAACATAGTCACATGATGTGCAAAGGTTTTTTGGCAACAGAAGTATAGTACACTAAAGTGTCTGTCTAAATACTTCTTGAATGTTGCTATCGTATCTGCTTCTACTGCCTCCACTGGCAGAGCATTCCAGGCACCTACTACTCTGTGTTAAAAAAAACCTGCCTCACACATCTCCTTTAAAGCTTCCTGTTCTCACTTTAAACTTATACCTGCTAGTATTTGACATTTCCACCCTGGGAAAAAGACTCTGACTATTCACCCTATCCATGCCTTTCATAATTTTATATACTTCTATCAGGTCATCGCCCAGCCTCTGATGCACTCACAAAAACAACTGAAGTTTGTCCAACCTCTCCTTATAGTTGGCACACCCAAATCCAGGCAACATCGTGGTAAACCTGTTTTGCACCTCTCCAATGCCCCCACATTCTCCCTACAGTGTGGCAACCAGAACTGCACACAATACTCCAAATTTCACCTGACTAAAGTTTTATACGACTGCAACATGACTCACCAACTTTTATACTTGATGCCCTGACCAATGAAGGCAAACATGCCGTACATCTTCTTTACCACCTTATCCACTTGTGTTGCCACTTTTAGTGAGTTATGGACTTGCATCCCAAGACCTCTCTGTGTATCCTGTAGCTCCTAAGGGCTCTGTCATTTACTCTACACTTTACTCTTTGACTTCCCAAAATGCATCACCTCATACGTGTCCGGATTAAACTCCATGCGCCACTTCTCTGCCCTTCTTTCCAGCTGATCTATATCCCTGTTGTATCCTTTGACAACCTTCCTCACTATCCATAACTCCACCAACTTTCATATCATCTGCAAATTTACTAATCAGACCACCTACATTTTTATTCAAAGCATTTCTACATATTACAAACAACAGAGGTCCCAGCACTAATCCTTGTGGAACACACTGGTCACAGAACTCCAGTCAGAAAAACACCCCTCCACAACTACCCTCTGTCTCCTTTGACCAAACTAATTTTGTTCCAATCTTAATACAACGTGGATCCCAAGTGACTTAATCTTCAGGGCCAGCCTACCATAAGGGACTTTGGCAAATACCTTCGTTAAGTTCACGTAGACCGTACCCACTGCCCTACCTTCATTTGTCGTCTTCGTCACTCCCTCAAAAAGCTCAACCAGATTTGTGAGTCAAGACCTCCATTGCACAAAGCCATGGTGACTATCCCAAAGAAGTTATGATTTTCCAAATGGAAGTAAATCCTGTCTTCTAAGAATTTTCTTCAATAATTTCCCTTACACTGTCATCTCACAAATCTATAATTTCCTAGATTATCCCTGTTGCCCTTCTTAAACAAAGGAAGATCATTGGCTATTCTCCAGTCTTCTGGGACTTCATCTGTGGTCAAAGAGGATACAGAGATCTCTGTCATGGCTCCAGTAATCTCCTTTCCTTCACTCAGTATCCTAGAACAGATCCCATCAGGCCCTGGGAACTTAACTACCTTAAGGAATTTCAAGATATCCAACCCCACCTCTTTATAAATTCCCTCTTCTGTCCTTAAGTGGACCTGTCCTTTCCCTAGCTACTCTCTTGCTTCTAATATACATAAAAAATGCTTTGGGATTCTCCTAATCTTAACTAGCCAAGGCCATTTCATGGTGTCTTTTAACTCTTCTAATTCCTGGTTTAAGTTCTTACCTGCTTTCTTTGTAAAGCTCAAGGGCCTTGTCTGATTCAGTTTCCTGAATCTTACAGATGCTGCCTTTCTCTTTTTGAAAAAACTTTCAATGTCTCTTGTCATCTAGGGCACCTGAATCTTGCAATCCTTGATTTTCATCCTCTCAGGAACATGCTGGTCCTGAACTCTGATCAACTGGCCTTTAAAAGACTCCCAGATGTCAGATGCGGAATTACCCTCAAACAACTGCTCCCCACTGAAAAGGAGGTGATGGCTTATTGATATTATTGCTGTACTGTTAATCCAAAAACCCAAGTAATATTCCAGGGACTCAGGTTTGAATCCTATCATGGCAGATGGTGGAAATTTAATTCAAAACAAATCTAGAATTAAGAGTCTAATGATGACCATGAAACCATTGTCAATTGTTGGAAACACCCATCTGGTTCACTTGTCCTTTAAGGAAGGAAACTACCAACCTTACCTATTAGTGACTCCAGACCCACATCAATGTGGTTGACTCTTAACTTCCCATGTAAAATGCTGGGCTGACTAGTGATGTCCTCATCCTGTGTATGAATAAATAATTGAAAATGTCTCCAATTCCTATGTAATACTTTTCTAGTTAGCCTTTCCCCAATTTAGCACTTTCACGTGAGGACCAGTCTTATCCTTATTCCAAAAGTATTTTAAAATTTACAGAATTATGATCACTGTTCCCAAAACATTCACGCTGAAACTTTGATCAATTGGCTTATTCTCCAACACAAGGTCTAGCATGGCCCCTTCTCTTGTTGGACTATCTATACGATTTCAAGAAACCTTCCTGGATGCACCTAACAGATTTTGCCCCATATAATCTCCTTGAACTTCTGTTGTTTTTACATCTTTCCATGATCTGTCTCTATATCTGTTCCTCTATCTCCCACTTGCTATTGGGAGTCCCATGCTATAACCCCATCATAGTTATTACTCCTTTCTTACTCCTGAGTTCTACCCATATGGCCTCGCTGGATGAGCCCTCCAAGATGTCTTCTCTTAGTGCAGTTGTGACATGCTCCTTAATTAGTAATCCAACTCCCCCATCCTTCTTACATCCCTCTCTATCTCACCTCAAACATCTAAACCCTGAAATGTTGAGCTGCAAGTCCTTCCCTTCTCTCAACCAAGTTTTTGTAATGGCTACCACATCATGGTTCCATC